TCAATCCACTGACGAAGAACAAATTAAAATATACCAAGCAAGAAAAACTTGTGTTTTCCAGTCTAGCCTGTTGGGGCACCATGCCCTGGGAGACTCATCCTTGATGAGGGAAACTGTCAGCATGCATAGAGTCAGAGCCTCTGACTCATAGCCCCGGTGTTCACTATACACCGCAGAGAGCAGGGGAAACACTCACAAGATCATGATTGGTGGCAGGTGGCACTATAGCCTGGAAAGGCCTGTAATTGGGATCCATACATCATTGTGAGTTAAGGAGGGTGACAGGATTGTTCCTGGGAATTTGACTGGCTGGCTGCATGATGGTTGGGGTATGATTCATGATCATGAATCTCTGAGTCACAGCTACCAGGACCCCAACTCCCATCAAAAATCAGACAATGTGTCTGATTGGCCACTATTGGTAGATGCCCTGGAAACTTCCCAGTTCTATGTGTAAACAGCATTCTTCATCCTAATTAGTCTACTTTCAACCACACTCCTCCTGAAGGCAAGCTGCCCCCGTCACCCAACCCAAACCCACTGCCAGCTGGCCGATTCTGACTCACCGCCACCTGATAGTTAACACAGGCACCAAACCAAGCACTCAAGTTCACTGTCATGGAGTGGATTCTGACTCACAGCAACTATTTAGGACACGGTAGAGCTGCCCCTGTGGGTTTCTGAGACTAACTCTTAACAGGGGTTGAAATCCTCTTTCTTCCTTCAAGAGGCTGGTGATTCCAAACTGCTAACCTTACGGTTAACAGCCCAACTTGTAATCCACTATGCCGCCAGGGCTCCTCCCTCAGAGCTGGTTTAATGGCCAGCAGGTGTTGGGGAGGTATCATAAAGAACTCAAGCGAGAGCTCAACTTACATGAACACTTATACACCCCCACACCAGTAGACCACAGTCTTCCACAAACCAGGTGCTTCAGAATTGAAATGCTAGTAGATTTGTTGGGAGGTGCAGGAAGCCCACATTTTCCTTCTAGGTCTCCCTGCTGGACACTGCCCTCGCTGCTGAGGAGGACACAGGCCACCTCACAGGAACAGGAGGATGTTGGCAGGAAGACCAAATCTTGCTGAACATGAGGAGGGGTGCTGGCCACTGTGAGGAGCTGGGTCCTGGCTGTGCTTGTGTGCTCAGCATGTTTGCACTGACCTCGGGAGCTGTACCCAGCTGTGGACCACCTGGACAGCCAGCTAGATCGATACTTGGGACAGGAGAAGTCTCCTTGCCTGGAACTGCCAAGCATATCTGCCTAGTTGAGCCCAACAATCTTGAGTAGGGGTTAACCAGCTACAGCCTGAGGGCTCCATCAGCCTGAGCCCCACTATGTGATGTTTGCAAATAAAACTACTGGAACACGGCATGTCCATTCCTCTGTGTAGCCTCTATGGTACCTTTCCCACAACAAAGCAGAGATGTGTCGTCACAGCCCAAACCATCTGGTGCACAAAATAAAAACTCTTTATGGGAAAACTTTGCCCAACCCCATCTCACAAGAATCCAGAGGGATTGATGAGTTGAATGGACGCAGTGGCTGCAACAGTGGGCTCCAAGGTAGCAAGGATTGTGAAGATGGCGCTGGATGGGGCAGTGTTTCACGTTGTGCACAGGGTCGCTGTGAGTCCAAAGCCACTATGGCAGCTAACAACAGGTTAGGTCCAGTGTGGAGCTGCTGCAGGCTGGGCGGAGTGCTGAGACCAGGAGCTGTCCACAGGGCTGGTGCTGATGGGGCAGAGCAAGTGGCCAGAGATGTGCTGAGCTCTGGCTTTGTCCTTGGAAGGAGAGGTAGGAGGGGCCTGCTTTCAAACCAGTGTATCGGCTGGGTCTGACAGGTCAAGGAGCAGTGGGGCAGGCAGCAGGGGTCAGTGGAGCTGGGGGAGGGATGACCCCAGGAACCAGCTTTCTTCGCCACTACATCAGATTCCTGGTGAGATGGAGCTGGATTAAGTGTAGAGGCACTGACTGCAAAGTTGGTGGTTCAAACCCACTGGCCACTCCAAGGGTGAAAGATGAGGCTATCTGCTCTCATAAGGATTTGCAGTCTGAGAAGCCCTAAGGAGCCATTTTTCTCCACCCTATGTGGTTGTTGTGAGTCAAAATCACCTTGACAGCAGTGGGTTTTGTTGTTTGGTAAATAGCCATAAGAAGGCTATTTGAATAGCCATAATGAAATAGCCAGGTGGCACAATGACTATGCTCTTAGCTGCTAATCAAAAGGTGGGCAGTTCGAATCCACCAGCTGCTCTGTTGGAGAAGAAAGTTGAGGCCGTCTGCTTCCATAAAGATTGATAATCTCAAGTCAGCCCTCGACACAAGGGTCTGTCAAAAAGAGAACAAAAAGAAAAAAAATATTAAAAAAAGAAAGAAAAAGAAAAAGATTGATAATCTTAGAAACCCTAAGGAACAGTTCTCTGTCCTACGAAGTCACTTTGAGTTGGCACTGATTTGAAGTCTGTGTGTTTGCGGGGTTAGGGGGTGTAGAGCCAGAACAGGCCTTTGAAATCATCTCATCTGACCTTACTCCCAAGGGAAGGAACCAAGGTTCAGAGAGGGAAGGGGATTTGCTGAAGTCCCAGAGTGGCTGATAGCAGAGTGGGGTGGGTCCTGCATCCAGGAGGCCAGTCAGGAGTATTAACTGCATGAGTAGGCATGACTGTCCTTCAGAGCCATGTCCTCTGTGCCTGGCATGTCAGAGTATTTCACTCCAGTCACGAGTGTATAAAACAGGAAACACAAAGCAATACAATCACAATGTAGAAAAGTTGCACTAACGCACACAAAGCAACAAGCAAAACAACTATTAGAGATTTCATAATATTGCTATAACTGCTTGTTTAGTGTTTCTTTATACTTTTCATAGTTTAGAATGTTATCGGAGCATGTTTAAGTACTGTCAAAGAGCCAGAGTTGATGTTTGCAATATACTGCCCCCTTAAGGCAACTGTGTTTACACCTTCCATAAAATCCAAGCACAATGTGTTCATGTTTTGTTTCTACCTGTATAATATTGCACACAGCTAGTAAATGGTGAATCTGTTTGCCGCTAAGATTTTCTTTTACCCGGTTTCTTTAGCTCTAATGGGCTTTGTTCATGCAAAGTGATTGGTAGCCATTCATTTTTCATAAACGACAATTGTGGTTTCACTCTTGGCCAGATGTACGGAAGAGTGAGAAGTGAGACGGGACTACAGATCGGTCCATGTTGAAGAAGTCACTGTATGGGTCGCATTATCTACTGAAAACCTCTTCTTGTTTTCTCATAACAGTGGTCTCCTACAATGTCTACCCTTGTGGGATTGACTAACTTTCCTCAGCACAACGTCCTCCACATCCATCCATGTCATCAGGTGGTTCACAGTGCCATCATTATTCTTTGTGATACGTAGTACGCCGTTGTGTGTACGGATCACAGTTTATTTCTGCATTCTCCCACCGATGGGCATCTCCATGGCGTCTATCTGTTTGCCGTTGTGAGTAGTGCTGTGACATACATGAGTGTGTATAAATCTGTGTGTTCTGTGTCTTACTTCTGTAAGGCATGTACCAAGTAGTCATGTTGCAGTTCTATCCCTAGTTGTTTGAGGATACACCATACCACTTTCCAGGGTGATGGGACTATTTTATAGTCCCACCGGCAGTGGGTAAGGGTTTCCATCTCACACCACCTGCAGCATTTGTTAGTTTCTGCTTTTTTGAACTCTCCTATCCGTGCTGAGGCAAGGTGGTGTCTTTTAAAAATGGATAGTGATCATGAGCATTTCTTCATATCTTTGTTGGCCACCTCAATGTCTTCTTTGAGAAACCATCTATTCATGTCCTATTTTTAAAATTGGGGTGTTCTTTTCAAGGTGTTGAAATTTTCTTTAAGTTTTGGAGACTAGTTCCTTGTCTGTTATGTCATTGCCAACATTTTTTCCCCAGTCTCTTTGTGCGTTTTGTTTTGTTTTTGTTTTGCTGTTTTGGTAACCTCTTTTGATGTACATAAGTATCTATTGTTTTACTTACATTGTGGATTATATTGATTGCTTTTCTAATGTTGAACCATTCTTGCATATCTGGGTGATTCCCATTTGGTTATGATTTTGTTTTGTTTTTTAATGTTTTGTTTGGGATTCTGTTGGGCTAGGATTTTGTTGAGAATTGTTTCATCTATGTTCATAAGAATATTGGTCTGTAATGTTTTATTTTGCTAGCATCTTTGCTGGTTTTGAAGTCAGGCATTTGTAACCTATTTTTTATATTTTGGAATTGTCTTCCTGTCAAGCTCTTCCCTGAATGTTTGGTAGAATTCTCTGGTGAAGCTGTCTGGTCCTGGACCTTTTTTAAAAAAAGTATTATTATTTTTAATCATTTTATTGGGGCTCGGACAACTCTTATCACAATCCATACATACTTCCATTGTATGTCAAGCACATTTGTACATTCGTTACCCTCATCATTCTCAAACATTCGCTTTCTACTTGAGCCTTGGTATCAACTCCTCATTTTTTCCCCTTCCTAAAAGTATTATTTTTATTGTTGTGTGTTTCTTAATAATTTGATCTACTTCTTTTGTCTTGGGTCTGTTCAGTTTTTCTACTTGTATCTGTGTTAGGTTAGGTAGGTAGCTTGCTTCTAGAAATTTGTCCATTTTCCCTAGTTTCTCAAATTTGTTAGAGTAAAATCCTTCTTGGTATTATGTTGGCAGTTGCCCGATTAGTGTTTTTATTCATGATATTTGCATCTTCTCGCTCTTTCCCTCTGTTAGGTTTGTCATTTGTAATTTTGTTAATCCGTTGTTGATTCTCGCTATTGTTTTTCTGCTCTTGGATTCATTTGTTTCTGTTGTAATCTTTATAACTTCTGGTGGCTGAGGGATTATTGTGCTGTTCTTGTTCTGGTTATAGGAGATATTGGATTGAGTTGTTGATTTTTATTCTTTCTCCTTTTTTGATGTGTATGTTTATTGCTATAATTTGCCCCCTGAGTACCACTGCTTTAGTTGTAGCCCATTGCATTTTCATTCTTATTTCATCTTTATTCGAGAATTTTAAAATTCATTCTTTATTTCTTCATTTACCCAGTAGTTTTAAAGCAGTGTTTATTCAACTTCCACATATATTATTTTTTTCTTTGATATTCCTGTTGTTGATTTCCAGGTTTTTAATGTTGTGATTTGAGAAGTTGAATTGTATTATCTTGATTTAAAAAAAAAAATGCTTCCTTTGTGACCGGACATATGGTCTATTATGGAACATGTTCCATGAATGCTGGGGGAGAATATACTGTATATACCATGTACAAGCCAAGTTTTTTCAGCACATTTTTAATGCAGTTTTTGTGGTAAAATTAGGTGCCTCGGCTGATATTCGGGTTGGCCTATACTCGAGAATATATGATATATTGTGTTACTGTTGGGTGAAATGTTCTGTATATGTCTGAAAGGTCAAGTTGATTAGTTGTGTCTAATTCTTCTGTGTCTTTTAAATTTTCTTCCTCAAGAGTGATGTATTGAAATCCCCTGCTACAGTTAGTGTTGTCAGTTTCTCACTTAATATTTGTAGAGATTTGATTGATATATTTTGAAGATCTTTCATGGGTACATAGATATTTATTATGGTGGTGTCTTCTTGTTCAGTTGTCCTTGTGGTCATTATGTAATGCACTTCTTTGTTGCTGATGGTGGATTTTGCCTTGAAGTCTATTTTATCCAAGATTAATATTGCCACTCCTGCTTTTTTATTGTCATTAGCTTGATATGTATTTTCCATTCTTTGAATTTTAGTCTTATTTTTGTTTTTGAGTCTAAGGTGTGTTTCCTGTTACACACAGCATATTAATGGGTCCAGTTTTCTTATCCATTCTGCTACTACTCTGCCTCTTAATGGGTACATTCAATCCATTTACATTCAGCATCCTTTTTGATAAGTATGAACTTAACCCTCTCATTTTGGTGTGTGACTTTGTGTGTGTGTGTGTTAGTAGTGGTAGTCGTGGTGGTGGGTTTTTCTCGTAATTTGTTTTTCTTGCCTTCTTGTTTTCTTTACTGTTGTTTTCCTGTCTACTAGGTCTATATGAGGCATCCTGATGGTATAGGGGTTACGTGATGAGCTGCTAACCACAAGGTCAGAAGTTTGAAACCCGCAGCAGCTCTGCAGGAGAAAGATGAGACTCTCTGCTCCCATAACGAGCTACGGTCTCAGAAACCCACAGGGGCAGCTCTGACCTGCCCTCCGGGTCTCCATGAGTTGCAATTGACTCAAAGGCAGTGAAGTTTTGTTTTATTTTGTTTTTGAGATCTTTCTGATTTAACTTTTTTTACATTTTGTTGAGGTTTATTTGCTTTCTGTGAAGTTGTTTTGTTTATTCACTTCAACCCAAGTCTAAAACAGTCTGTTCTCTCATAAAATCGACCCAATTTCCTCTTTGTTCAGATGCTTTGTATCTAGATCCATACGGTTTTCATTGGCTGATTTTCGCAAATTGATTGCCAGGCCTGTCTTCCTAGTCTGGCGTAGTCTAGACTCTCCCCCTTGAAACTTGTCTGCCATGGGTGACCTGGCTGGTATTTGGAATCCTGGTGGCATAACTCCCAGCATCACAGCCACGTGTAACTGATAGGTGTCTGGGGGCTGGACCAGCAGAGAAGAGACCAGTAAGTAATGGAGGATGTTGCTAGAGGGGCAGCCTCAGAGAACACAGTTGGGACGTTTGGTGTGACACAAGCGAGGAGAAGCCCTCCATGGCCAAGAACTTGACAGGAGAATCACATGGAGTGGCAAGCCTGCGGCTAGGACATGCTTCAGACCTGCAAAAGATGCAGCTGTGGCAGTGTGGCCAGACAGCAGTTATCAAACCCATCTTCCCCGCCACCTCTGCAGTGGCATCTATTCGGGCTCACAGTGACCCTGTAGGACAGAGGAGAGCCTGCCAGTCTCTTCAGGAGGCCGACTGCCTCAAGTTTCTTCTGAGTTGCTGCTGCTGGGTTCAAACTGCATGCCTTCCAGTTATCAGCCTGATGCTGACTCCACTTCTTCCCCTGGACTCCGAAAACCACCAGAGACCACCCTGCAAAGGGTGTCAAAGTCATTTTCTCAGGTGTCTGCTCCCGCCTCCTGGGCCAGGCTGGGATGCCCCTCTCCCACCTTCTCTGTCTTGCAGGTAAAGCAGATCATGGAAGAGGCCGTCACGCGAAAGTTTGTCCATGAAGACAGCAGCCACACCATCTCCTTCTGTGGTGAGCTGGGCTCCCGGGGAACGGGGAGCCAAGGAAGGTGTGCTGCCACGAGCAGAGTGCGCTTCTCAGCAGGCGCTCTCGAGCCGTCTTTGCTCTGGAACCCGTTGCTTTGTGATCCTGCTGGGACCGCTGAATCCCCAGAGGGTCATCTTTGAAAACTATGTAGTGGAAATTCAAAATGACTTCGCCATCCCCATGAAGGAGCCTTAAGCACTCAACTGCTGACCCAAAGGTTGGTGGTTCAAACTCAGCCTGAGGTGCTGCAGAGGAAAGGCCTGGCTCTGCTCTCAAGGGCCCAGCCTTGGAGACCCTGTGGAGCACAGTGTCAGCCTGCACACGTGGGGTCACCCTCAGTCAGGTGCAGTTCCATGGCAACTCGTCTGAAGCAGACCCATGGAGAGGCACCCCCGGGTCATACCTGGCCTTGTTGTAGGAGGCCTGGTGGTGCTGTGGGTTAGGCATGTGACTGCTAACCTCAGATTGACCATTTAGACCCATCAGCTGCTCTCAGGGAGAAGGATGAGGTCCTCTGCTCCTCAGGATTGACATCCTAGGGAACTCTTGCTGGCAGTGGGCTTGGCGGTTTTGTTTTGTTTTTAAGGTGGTTGTACATCGAGGGAACAGATGGAGGGAGACTTTGTAAAAAGAGGGACCAGGTCCAGCTTTCCCAGCAACGGAGACAGGCCCCGGGCTCAGTACATAACTGATCCCTCTGGTCGGCTCTTCTCCAAAGGTCCATCAGGCAGCACCCTCATCTCTGTGGAGCAGAGGCCAGTGCATTATGTGTGTGTCTGCAGGTGGGAGTGGCTGCTTCCTCTTCCCCTGAGACTAGAGTATGTCCACATGAGGACACGCTTCCCTCCCTCGACCTTGGTGCTGCCCAGAGCTCTGAGCTAGGGGACGGCCTGACTGTCAGCCTCGGCCAGATGGCTAGGGATGCCACCATGTGGGCCTTCAGCACACTCCGACCTTGGTAGCCACTGATTTCAGCTCACCTTCTTTGCCGCCAGGCGAACTGGGGACCAGATCCCAGCACTGCCACTTCCTCCCCAGATGCCTTTGGGCAAGATTTTGTCATAAATGGGAGCATTGTCCTGAGGTGCCATCTGATGGGGTCCATCTCTTAGCAACCCTACATGCCACGGGAAGCAGTATCACCCCATCCTGTGCCAACCTCACAATCCATGTTCTGTGTGAGCCCATGATTGCAGCCATGCTGTCAGTCCATCTCATTGAGAGGCTTTGTCTTTTGCTGTGGGATGAGCTTATGTAAATACAAATGGTCCCCAACTTGCCACATGTGTGAGTTATGGCAAGGCGCGTTTTTGATTGCTGTGAGTTTTGTTGTTTGATTTTTGCACTTTTCGCTCTTAGTAAAGGCTCTCTGGAGTTGCTGCTGGTTTGGCATTGGGCTGAAAACCAGAAGATTAGCAGTTTAATCCCACCAGCTACTATCAATAGAACGAGGAGACTTTGTCGTCATGCAAAGAGTGACAGTCTGGGGAGCCCAGAGGAACCCCGTGTCCTGCAGGGTTGCTGTGCCAGCATGGGCTCGGTGGCAGTGGCGTGTTCTCTTGGGGCACTGTGAGGAATGTTATCACATACAGCACTGCAGAGTGGGATTTGTTGGTGTGATCGTCCTCAGAGGTTTACATGAAGATAGTTGGTGTCCTGACTCCCTGTCTGAACACTGTAGGCTGTGAGAACTTAGAAAACAAAGCAAAACAAGAGGTGTTCGATTTCAATTGTCAGAACAGTACCCCAGTGTCATCTTGGCTCCCCAGCATGTCATGATTTTACTAGCAGGAACTGCCTGTTGTTGTCAGATGCCTTTAAGGCCACCTCTAAGTCATGGGGACCCCTGCACTCAAAACTCAGAATAACCAAGCTCACTGCCACTGAGTCGACTCTGACCCATCCCACCCTGTAGGACAGGGCAGAACTGCCCCGTGGGCTTCTGAGACTGTCACTTGCTCTCACTCTTTTAAAAAAAGTTTATGGGCACTTCACCCACATGTCATACAGTTCAGTGAGCCACTCATATCAAGGAGAGTTGTACAATTGTCACCATATTCAATTCTAGAACATTTTCTCTTCCTTGTACTCATTGTTATTTATGTAATTATTTTTTCTAATTGTGACAAAAATATACACAACAAAACGTTCTCCAATTCTACAACTTCTACCTGTATAATTTAGTGCCACTGATTACACTCTTCCTGTTGTACAAATATAATTGATATAATTTTCCAGATTATCATTCCACCACTATGGACATAAACTCACTCTTTCCTAAGCAACAGCTCTTTTCTGCTTTACCCATGGTAACCATTGGTGACGTTTGGTTTCTTTTTTCTTTTGAGTAGTTTTCTTGGTATAATATTCACATATCATACACTTCCATGGTTAAATCACTTTTAAGATGAGTTGTATACACATCATCACAATCAGTTCTAGTCCTCCCTCCACCCCCCCATATTCACTGTTTGCTCCCCAAATCCTCTCACTGTCCGCACTGCCCACCCCCCTCCCCCCACATCCCTGTTAAACCCTCGCATCAGGTGTTGTCTCTATGCATCTGCTCCTTCTGTGCTTCACAGACCGGGAAGCCCAGCAGACACAATAAAAAACGAAACCAAAATAAAATGGCAAGAAGAAAATAATCATATAAAGATAAAAATACAAATACAGAGTAAGAAAGGAAAGGCCACCATCAATATTTTAAAAACATCAACAATTTTTCCAGTGACCCAGAACTGAAGACACTGTTGCTATGAGGAGTCTATGTGAGTACCCAGACTTCTTTGTGTGGGCTTAGTTGGCTCCTCACTTAGATGGCTGCTTATTTGAATACAAGCCTTTAAGACCCCAGACACTATTCCAACTGATAGCCAGGCACCATCTGCTTTCTTCACCACACTTTGCTGAGTATCCTTACCTTCAATGGTCACTTCTTGAAGGTGAGTGTCAAGCAGGGCTGTGTTATCAGAACTAACTGTTCTGGGATTGGAGTTAGAGTTAAGTGGGAGCCCAGAATCCATCTGCTTGTTCACAGGTTATGAATGACTCTGGTTTACTTTGGCGATCGTATTATGACAAAGATAAAATCCCACAAGACGAACAACAAAACAAAAGGCAGAAAAAGAAAAAAGAAAAACATTGTCAGTCACCCCCTTGTGGTACAAGGCGATTGCATGATACCATCAGCAGTTTTCCCAGTGACACAGAACTCAAGACACTGTTGATACGAGGAGTCTATGCGAGAGCCCAGATTGTAACTTTTCAGGGAGTAGAAAGCCTCATCTTTCTGGTGAGGATCAGCTGGGGCTCTTGAACTGCTGACCTGGTAGTTAACAGCCCAATGAATAACCACTCTGCCATAGCAACCCTGGTTCGATTTCTGAGGCTTTCGATATTTATCTGAGCAGAAAGCCTTATCTTTATCCTATGGAGTGGTTGGTGGTTTCAAACTACTTACCTTCTGGTTAGCAGCCCACCATGCAATCCATTATGCCACCAGGGTTCCTTTGTTAATAGGGAGAGGAAAGGATTCTGTTATAATACGTTTCTAGCTTTGTTCAAAGTTTATGGGTGGGACCATTGGATGATGTTCAATGCAGTCCCATGAATGGTCCCATGGGAAGAAGAGGAAGCTCCCAGAAAGACTGACTGCCTCAGAATCCCGTGGGAGCAGTTCTGCCCTGCCCGGTAGAGTCCTGAATTGACCTGATGGCAGTGAATTTGGTTTGGGTTTCATTTGTATGATCAATACACTGTTAACTGAAAGGTTGGAGGTTTGAGTCGGCCCAGAGGCACATTGGAAGAAAGGCCTGGTGATCTGCTTCTGAGATGTCACAGTCATGGACAGTTCATGGACACAACCATGATCACCCATGCTTACTGTGCCATTCTGACGCACAAGGGTTTTTCATGAGTCCGAATCAAATCAATTGCTTTTTAAAAGACACTACTTAAAGTTTCTTTTGTCACTTGTTCCTTAGAGGCCCTTGTCAAGCAGCTAAACAATGCCCATGCCACCCGAATAGATTATTCACTTGTTAGGTGCCACTGAGTTGGTCCCGGCTGTGGTGACCCTTTGCATAACAGTTCCGTGCCATCCTCACAATTGGCCTGAGCCCATCGCTGCAGCCACAGTGTCAGTCAATCTCCGGGAAGGCTGTCCTCGTTTTTGCCATCCCTTTCCTTTCGCAAGCACGATGTCTTTCCAGTGCCGGGTTTCACCGGACAATATGTCCAAAGTGTGTAAGACGAAGTCTTGTCCTCCTTTCCTCTAAGAAGCACTCTGGCCATACTTCTTCCAAGAAATCTCAGTTTGTCCTTTCAGCAGTTAGGCAGTTACATCATCTCCTGTCAACTTGAGTGAAAGGGTGGAGGCTAGCCTGTCAATCAGGCCATAGCCAGTGAAGCTGCTGTGTGGGTCTGGCCTTCTCCTGAGGATTCTGGGAACTCCCGTCTTCCTCCCTGGAGGCGGGACACACTCTCCCTGGGGGACATTCCTGTTGACAAGGCAGATGCAGCTACTCTGATGGAGCCAGAGCCCTGGAGCTGGAGGAGCCACAGGGAGACCAACACCAGTGCTGACATGCTTCCACTGCCACTGGATCCATAAGACTTTGCACCCACAGTCCTGTGATCTTCCTACACTCAGCATCATTGCATGTGTTGTGTGAGTCTGAAGAGGAATTTATAGACTGGTATTGGACAGATGGGCTAACATCAGACTTATGGACTTGATCTGGATTGGGCTGGGATGTTTTCTTAATATTAAATTACTCTTTGACATAAAACTCTCTCATACACATATGAGTCTCCCTGGATTTTGTTTCTCTAGTCTACCCAGACTAACACAGCAGTCCATGGTACTTCCAATATTCTTCAGCACTATAATTCAAAAGCATTGATTCTTCTTTGGTCTTTCTTACTCAATATCCAACTTTTGAATGCATATGAGGCAATGGAGACTTCCATGGCTTGGGTCAGGCGCATCTTAGTCATCATGGTCCAGTTGTGGGGTGTTTGTCTTCTGTCCATTGAGTTGTAATCCACACTCAAGGCTGCAATCCCCATCTTCATCAACAAGTGCTTCAAGTCCTCCTCACTTTCAGCAAGCAAGGTTGTATCATCTGCATATCGTAGTTTGTTAATAAGCCTTCCCTCAATCCTGATGTCATGTTCTTTTTTTTTTTTATGTTCTTCATATAAATCGACTCCTCTGATGATTTGCTCAGCATACAGATTGAACAAGTGTGGTGAGAGGATATAACTCTGACGCACACCTTTCCTGATTTTACGCCATGCAGTATTCCCTTGTTCTGTTCACACACTTGCCTCTTGATTCAAGTTCTGCAGGAGCACCATGAAGTGTTCTGGAATTCCCATTCTTCCCAAGGTTATTCATAGTTTATTACGGTCCGCACAGTCAAATGCCTTGGCAGAGTCAATAAAACACATCTTTCTGGTATTCTCTGCCTTCAGTTAAATCCCATCTGACATCAGCAATGATATCCCTTGTTCTTAGTCCTCTTTTGAATCCAGCCTGAACCTCTGACAGCTCCCTGCTGCAACCTTTGTTGGATGATCTTCAGCAAAATGGCCATGAACTTAAATCAGTATAAACCGAGAGAAAGGACACTGCCTACAATGGGAAGTTTAGCTAGTTACGAGATGAAGCAGTCTGCTCCCCGAAAGACAGACAGCCTTGGAAGTCCTCGGGAGCATTTCTGCCCTGGCCTTGGCCTTGGGCAGTGGGCAGTGGGTCTTGGATGAGGCCTGCGAGGCAGTCTGTGGGCCTTTGTTCCAATCTGTGCCCTCAGAGTCCTGCTTTGCTCCTCTGTGGCCATGAGGAGGGCTCACCTTGTGGGCTCTGTTGTGAGAATTAGATAAGGTGACACTTAGCTGTGGCCTGTCTAAGCAGGTCAAAAGTTGGCTCACCGACCATGTAGAAAGTCTTTAGGCTACTTTTGCTAGAAACGTTGGTTAGGCTCCCAGTGTGTACTGGGAGTAGCCCTGGTGGCACAGTGGTAAAACCATCTGTTGCGCATCTGAAAGTCAGCAGTTTGAATCCATCAGCTGCTCTGGGGGAGAAAAAGCCTGGCCATTCGTTGACAGGAAGCCGATAGCCCTCTGCGTGTAGGGTCGCTATCCCTTAGAACGGACACAAAGGCACAGAACCCAACAGCACGATGGCCTTCTCCGGGGACGCGCCTCTCCTGAGAACATGCCTAACGCACGGGAGCTGAAGGCTCCATCCTCGCTTCTAAGGAGATCGATTTGCTCTTCTGGAAGGCCATGATACTTTCTGTCTTTCTACCCTCAGAAGTGGACTGCCCATTCCTTCTTCCCAGTCAGGAAGTTCTGCAGAAACCGGCCCACTCTGGGTGACCCTGCTCGCATTTGAAACGCCGGGGGCCGAGCTTCCAGCTTCCCAGCCACACAAAAGCTAGCACAGCCACCCACTGACAGACAAGGGAGTGGGGGAATTGACCCTTCCAAACTCACTGCCATTGAGGATCCCAACTCATAGGGACCCTAGAGAACAGGGCAGCACTGCCCCTGTGGGTTTCTGAGACTGTCACTCTGTACAGGAGTAGAAAGCCCCATCTTTCTCTCTTGGAGAAAGTCTGATGGTTTAGAACCGCTGATCTTGAGATTAGCAGCCCAACTCGTAACCCACTCCACCGCCAGTGTTCCTGGTTTTGACCCTTGGACAGTAATAATTTAAAATATCATAAAGCTCTATGTGTACTTTCTGAGTGGTGAATTTCTTCCCATTCATCCTCAGTGTTTCCACTGGCCCCATTTTACAGATAAGGAAACTGAGGCACAGAGAGGGGCCATCATGACACGGATGCTGCAGGGGGTTGGTGGTGTGAGCATATGAACAGAGCATGGTTCCACTCCGGGTCTCTTGCCCCACACTGAGGGTGTGGAGGGAGAAACATGCAATTCTCTCCCATGATACTGTTGTCCGGATATTTTGTGAGCCTTGGGGTCCAGGTGCTCTCAGACACCCTCCCCTGTCTGACCACAGCCCTGAGTTGGGCTGGGTGCTGGGGAGGGTGGCCCTGGCTGGGCCCGCTGACGACCGTGTCCCCTCAGCGGCCGTGGAGGCGTGCATTCTGCATGGGCTGCGGCGGCGGGCAGCCGGCTTCCTGCGGAGCAACAAGATTGCAGCTCTCTTCATGAAGGTGGGCAAGAGCTTCCCACCGGCCGAGGAGCTCAGCCGCAAGGTCCAGGACCTGGAGCAGCTCATGGAGAGCACGTGAGTTCTCTCTGGGCCAGGGATCGGGGCCTAGGCTCCGGGGATGGGTGGGTGGTGGGTGG